CTGACTGCGGACGGGCCGCCCGTCGCCGCGCTCGGGCCCTTCTCCAACGGCCGCTGGCCGTCGGAAGAGAGCACCTTGCTCGACCGCTGACGGTCTTCCGACGTACACGTGATGGCTGATCTTCGAGGACGCCCCGCCAATCTCGAGCAAATTCATCATCATCATCATCATCATCATCATCATCATCGTCATCAGCATCAGCATCAGCATCAGCATCACCATCATCATCATCATCATCATCATCATCTTGAGCTATTTCGCAAGTTTCGGCCTCCAGGGGCCCTCGACAGGCCCCTGGATGATTCACTGGATCCAGGGGAACATAGCAGATGGTTGGTATTGCTGATCTTTCGCGGGAGCTACTTCTTGCAATTGCTTTGCTGATCTTGCTCGGGAATGACGTGTTGCCCCCTTCCTCCTCCCCATCCTCTGGCGTGCCGCAACGCATTTTCAATGCTCATCTGCCTGCCGCGTCGTCCCACTGCGAAGGCCGTGCAAGGAACACGAATTACTCAATCGATGACGATCACCCCGTCCTCCTCGCGTTTCTGGTATGTGGTACGCAGAATCGGGAGCCACGACTTTATTGGGCACGTCCTCCATTTCTGGCGCGGCCTGCGGATCACTTCGCACTTGAAATTCGGGTCGAAAACATCACCGCCTGGAGGTCCCTGGAACAGATCGGGCTTGACGGGATCTTTGATCGGCGACTCAACCTCAGAGTGGGTCGGCGTCTGAACCTCGGAGTGGGCCTTCGGCGTCTGAACCTCGGAGTGGGTCCCTTTGGTCGGAGTCCATGACCCGCGGTGTTTATAGAAAATAGCCATCTGGGACACCCTGAACCAAGTGGCTACGCACAGCCAAAGTAGGGATCCCCCTCTCTTTCCTGACATGCCCTTCCCCCGTGGCTTCGAGTGCTACGTGCCAGAGCGAGGCTGCCGTGCTAGCAGGGGGTGTCCTCCTCCTCCTCCTCCTCCTCATCTTTCTGCGGCCCCCCCCCACGTTTTTTTTCTGGCGGGTTCCACCTTGGCGCCCAAGTGGGCTCGAATGGCAAAAAAGAACTGCACTGGGCAGCGAGCGGGGATCGAGACCGTTTTTTTTTTTTTTTTTTTTTTTTTTTTTTTTTTTTTTTTTTTTTTTTTTTTTTTTTTTTTTTTTTTTTTTTTTTTTTTTTTTTTTTTTTCTGATTACCTAGCCAACTGTCCCCTCCCTCCCCCTAGCTCGTTTCTATCGCACGGGCGCCGCGGGCCGCCTATCATGTCCTACTCTCTATCGGCGGGCCTTCTGGATCTTCTCGTGCAGCCTCTCTCTTAGCCTCCTCTTGGCATCCTCCTTCGCCTCCTCCTCCTCCTTCGCCTGCGCCTCCCTCTGCCTCCTCACCTCCTTTGCCAGAGTCTCCTTGATCGTCGCCCTCCTCTCCACGTCGTCCGCCTGCCTCCTGAGGACCTCCAGCGCACGCCTCATCCTGGTCACCTCGTCGCCCTCCTGCTGCGCCAGCGCCGCCTCCATGAGCTCATCTCTGCCCCTCAGGGCCCTCGCCTCCTCCTCCTCCTTCTTTCTCCTGGCGCCTTCCTTCTCCCCCCCCCTCCTTCTCCTCCACTCTTCCGCGCGCTTGAGGCGCCTCCTCGCCGTCTCCTCAGCATCCTGGGCCCCGCTCGCCGCATCCTCACTCACCATCGCCTGGCGCCCCGCCGCGCCCTTCCTCTGTTTGGCCTGCGCCTCCTCCGCCTCCTCCTCCCCCTCCTCCTCGCCGCCTCCTCCTCCATCCTGCTCCTCGGCCTCTTCGCGCACCTCGGACGTGATGCCTTCTGATGAATCCATCTCATCGAGGATGAAGCGGATCCGCAGGTACCATGGCTCCAACAATGGCTCCATCATTGGCCCCACGCGCCCTGGGCTCGATCCGCTCGGGAGGGAGAGGACCGTTTCTCACGGGAGGGTTGGTCAAAGCGGGACCGTTTTTCTCATTGAGCGTCTTGGAACCATATGTTGTCTTGCGCCATTCGCGACCGATCCCAGAGCGAGTGGCCGAATGATCAGAAAAAGGGAGGGGAGGGGAGGCCCGAGAGGCTCGGCACAACATCGATTCGAGCGGGAGGGTGAAGCCTGTAGCTTCAAGGGTGGCGACGCCTCAGCCACTCCACGCACCCCTTCACCTACGCGACCCGCGATGGGGGGTGCAGGCGAGGGAGGGAATGAAAGTGGGGAGGTGTGGCGACCCTATCCCGTCTTTGTTCTACAACAAATCAGTGACGATCAGCTTCGAGGGGCCCCACACTCACCAGGGGCCCCTCCACATGGAGAGAAGCACGGAGCCCTCCCTCCTCCTCCTCCTCCGTCGATCCTCCTTCCTCATCCTCACCCTTCCTCCTCACCCTCTGCCCTCAGCCCCCTGGCGGTCCGCATGCACCCGCCCCTGTGGTTCCCTTTTTCGCAGCGATGTCGCTGCGCGCATGTGTGCATGACGTCGTCCATGCGCTCGAGCGCCTCCCCTCAACCAGCGCTCGGCTCTCCCCCCGCGCTTGGCTCAAGGATCGGAGGGATGAGGAAGCATGGATGGACGCATGCACGATAAAGAATGGATTGAATAGTGGATGGATGGAAGCATGGATGGATGGGTCGATCACTCAAGTTCGGGGCGATGAGAACAAATCAGAGTTGAACGAAATGAACATCCCTCCAACATAATATGCCCCAGGAGCCTCACAATACAAAAAAATATCACGGCAGCGAAGATCATCACGGCGCTGAAGATCATCGCGGCGTCGTATCACCACGGCGGCCCTGCCGCTCCCTCGCTCGCCCCTACTTCCTCGGGCGCGCGGCGGCTACCAACCACCATGCACCAACTCGACTGCCTGCATTTCTTCATCGCAGCCCCCTGCTATATAACCACTCAGCCCGTGGAGCACCACCCCGCCGCCCCGCCTAGTCAGAAGGGTGCATAGGGATGCCCCGCTCCGCCTTCACCTCGCCCCGAATCGCGACGCCCCCCTCCTTCGTGCACACGCCCTGGGAGATCACCCTCTTGATGATCTCCTCGCAGACCTTCCTGGATCGCTCCTTACTGTCATCCACCTCCATGGCCTCGAGATCGTCATCGTGCCAAGTGTTATCCTGCACCAGCGCCATCGACCTGAACGGCGTGCCGTCGCTTGCGCACCGCAAAGACACTTCGCACATCTTCTCTGACCACCTGTTCCTGAGCTTCACTGCCCAGGTCTTCCCACCAGCGTAGTACGTCCAAGTGCCAGGAGGGCCCTCGAGGGCGACGATCTGATCTGGATCACCTTGCTCCTCCTCTTCGCCCATCTCGTCCGCTTCTTCCTCCTCGCCCCATTGTTCCTCTTCTTCCTCTTCTGCCTCAGGATCCTCGGGTTCCTCAGGCTCGTCGACATCATCAGGGATCGTCTCCACCTTGGCTGCCTTGGCTGCTGCAGGGCGCTTGAGGCAGCTGGCTCCTGCAGGCCTTTTTTTTGAGCGTCCCACTTTTCTTGTCCGTGCTCTGGCCCTTGTCAGTGTCCTTGTCCTTGTCAGCCGCCTCAAGCGTGCCCTTGTCCTTGTCCTTGCCCTTGTCAGTTTTCTTGTCCGTGCCAGCTGGGCCCTTGTCAGTGTCCTTGTCTTTGCCAGCCGCCTCAGTCTTGTCCGTGTCCTTGTCCTTGCCCTTGTCAGTTTTCTTGTCCGTGCCAGTCTTGTCCTTTGCCTTGCTCTTTGCCTTTTTCTTGGCCTTGCCAGCCGTGCCTCTCTCTCTCTCTCTCTCTCTCTCTCTCTCTCTCTTTTTTTTTTTGTTTTTTTTTTAATCTGTCCCATTCTTCTCGTAGTTGCCATTGCTGTTCCTCATGACCGGGCGGAGCCACACAGGCGTGGGCCCATCGGCTGAATCGGACTGCATCGGCGCAGTTCGCTCTGGTGTGACTTCCCGCGCCAGCTTCTTTGCCTGTTTCTCACGCTTGCATTTGGGCTCTCGCTGTCGGTCCTTCTTCTTTGTCTTTTCTTCTTCTCTGGATTGCCAGTCATGCTCCCCAAGAAGACGTGCACATGCGCGCTGGTCCCAGCAGTCTCCCCTCGCCGCTTTACCAGGCGCGCTGTGACTCGGAACGGAACACAACAAAAATGGGGGGAGGCGCGGGAAAGGAGGGTGGCCGATGGGAAGTCTCAGGATGCAAAGGTACACGACCAGCTGAGACGGACATGCAAAGGTACACGACCAGCTGAAACAGACATGCATAGGTACACGACCAGCTGAACCAGACATGCAAAGATACACGACCAGTTGAAACGAGCTGGGGAGATCTGGAGGAGGAGGCCCCTTCGCCATCCACTATCCCTTGGCTTCCATCTGCAACGTCAGCCTCTCGCCGCAACCCTCCAACACTTTAAGCACTCTCCGCATGCCCTAACCTACCAAGAGGCAACGAAGTGTTGATTGGGATTTGGGTTAGGAGAGGAAGGGTGAACATGGGGAGCGCCTGCTGCGGAAAATCCCACCCCACGATCCGCCCCGCCAGACGTATGTGCATACACACGCATGTACATATTTATATGTACATGTATGTACATATAGATATGTATATACAAATGTATGCATATGTGCGTTCCTCCTCCTCACCTCGTCTTTCGCCCTCTTCTCCCAAAGTGGGGCGAGACCCAAACGCGGGAACCATTTTTTGGGTCACTGAGGCGAGCCCCACCATCGATGTTTTGGCGTGGATGCTATGTGTATATACATATATGTGTATTGTGTTTGGTATATGCAGCTATGTTTATGTGTATGTGTACTACGTCTGGGTATTACGTATGTGTATATATGTATGTGTGTATACGTATAAATCTGTATATAGATGTATATACATATATATATAAGTGTATATATACACACGTATGTGTGTATTATGTGTGCTTGTAGTGTACTACCGCGTGCGTGAATCATCACCCCGCCCTACACCCAAGTACCCGGCCTTGACCGTAGTATCTGAGCTGCTCTCGTCAGCCTCGTCAGCCAGGTCAGGTACATTGTCAAGATCGTCAACGTGTATCACCATGGAGTTGTGCAGGTGCTTTCTGATGGTCTCGTCGTCCTCGTCGCTGTCATCCTCGCAGGGCACCTCCCCTGCCCGAGGACGGCGCGCCATCGGTGGACGGGGTGCACACCTGGACCACTCCACTCCACTCCACTCCACCGACGTCAATCGATCGTCGACCGCATACGCCAATCGATTATCGTCGATCGGCGATCGAAGCTTGACAATCGACGATCGTCGTTAACCGTCGACCGTCGTCGTCGATCGCCCATCGTCGATCGGCTATCGACGCTCGACGATCATCGATCGTCGATCGTCGACCGTCGTCGTCGATCGCCGATCTTCGATCGTCGATCGGAGTATTCGGCCGTGCGTGCGTCGAGGGGTCAACTTGCCGCTGCCCTCCTCCCTGCGCTAGCGCCTCGCCCACTCTTTTCCAGTGGCTGAACATCATCCGCAAGGAGCGGCTCTGCAAATACCTCGTAATGGTAGTGGTAATGGTAGCAGTGGTAGTGGTAGTGGTAATGGTAGCAGTGGTAATGTTGCCAGTGGTAGCAGTGGGATGAGAGGGGCTGGGACGGAACGCATTCAGAGGGGACGAAGAGGATGGGGGCGAGGATGGAAGGGCGGAAAGGGGGGGATGACGGCGAAGAGGGCGTGACATGGCATTGGGAAGGGGGGGGGGGGGAGTGACGACGGAGGGCACTTCACCCCGTCAACCCTGCCCTGCACGGGCTTGCGGCCGTGCTCAGCACGGAAGGCCTCGATGTAGTTGTGCTCGCATGCTTTCTTCCAGGCGCCCTGGCCGAGGAGACGAGGGCGAGGGCGAGTGAGGGCGACAGAGACCTTCATCCTCCTCTCCTCCTCGAGGCTTCCTCCTATTCCTCTTCGCCCCCCCGCGAGGCGGCCACGTTGGATGCGAAGCTGAAGGTTCGATATCGTCTGACCCTGCCAACTCGATCTATAATGCTCCTCCCTACCCCACCCCCCCATCCATTCCCATGTGCTCATCCCCTCCTCCCGCGTCCTTTGAATCCACGCTCTCCCCCCTCCCCCTGTCGTCCTGGCTCTTCCCTCACCCTCCCGCTTCACCGTTCAATTTCTTGAGCTATGCATCCCCAGCCCGACGGTCCGAGATCAGAGACTGGCTGAATCTCTTCCCTTCGCCGAGGTTGTTCAAGTCCTGCATGAGCCCCGCGTAGACCTCCCCTGCCCATCGGTTTAGGCCTCTCCCCTCGAGCTAAACCTGTCGTGCTAGCCCCAGCCAAAACCTGTCGTGCTAAACGAACTCATGCTAAACCTGTCGTGCTAGCCCTAGCCAAAATCTCCCCCCCCAAATCCCACCTGAATCTCTTTCATCTTCGGGCGATCCCCGAAGCGCTTCACGGAATAACTGAAGCTGGGGACGTCTCCTTGCAACTGTGGCCATTGCGGGGTCGCTCTCAAGATGGCCTCCGCGCGGGCGTCGGCGGCGCCATGAGGGGGAGAATCGGGGCGGGAGGGGGAGGAAGAGGAGGGGGCCCTCCCAAAATAATGCGACCTCCCACAAGAGGACGACCAGGGCGAGGCCGATGAGGACAGAGAAGAGGCCACGGGATGGGAGGAGCGGGGAGGGAGAATCCAGACCGACGATCGCTGGGCCTCCAACGTTAACGTGCGCGTGGTGTGTGTGCGTGCGTGTGTGTGTCGCACTGCTGGCCGAGGCCTGAACAAGGAAAATGCCCCCCAGGGCCTTCGGCTCAATAGTGGCACCAACCACTCACGAGCAGCTTGTGTGTGTGTGCGTGTGTGTGCGTGTGTGTGCCCGTGCGCCTGCGTGTGTGTGTGTGTGTGCGCGCGTGCATATATGCTGCCGCGCGCGCGCGCGCGCGCGTGTGTGTGTGTGTGTGTGTGTGTGTGTGTGTGTGTGTGCGTGCGTGCGTGCGTGCGTGCGTGCGTGCGTGCGTGTGCGTGTGTGGCGCGCCTGCGCCACTAGGTCGGCGTCGACCCTGGCCGTGACCCCGTGCCGATTGCCCCCTCGGCGCACCATGGCGGCGCCGCGCGCGCGAGGGGCCCGCTGGAGGACAACCTTCTCTTCCTTTTCCTCCTTGCCCTCCTCCCCCCCCTCCCCCTCCCTTTTTTTTTTTCCTTCCTCCGTTGGCCGCCAGCGGAGGCCCCTCGCCCCCCCCCGGCCCCTAGGGGCGCCACGGCCCTGGGCCTGGACGCGGCGGGCGGCGCAGGCCGAGGAAAGGGAAGAAGAAGGGGAAGCAGGAGGGGGAAGGGGAGCTCGAGGCGCGAGAGGGCGGAGGGCAGGGGAGGCACAGGGAACGAGAGGGAGGGGAAGCGAAACGAGGGGGGGAACGGAAGGGAAACAACGCCCCTTCCCTGCCTTCCTCCTTCCCCCTCTCCCGCCCAACATGCAACAATCAATGCATCTAACCAAAAATTAATACATCTAACCAAAAATCAATACATCTAACCAAAAATCAATACATCTAGCCAAAAATCAATACATCTAACCAAAAATCAATACATCTAGCCAAAAATCAATACATTCCCACGCGTTTGAAAAGAAATCAATACAAACACCCGTTTTCAATGCAATCGGGCGCATTGAAAAAAACAATACTTTGGAGGTTGGGGATTACGTCATGGGGGGGCGTTATGGCTCAGATGGTCACCAACAACACATTATCATCCACGCCCTCGCGATCCCGCGGATAAGAGGTCGCATGGCTGCGATCCGTTTTTTCTACGGCCGCAGGCGAACGCGCTAGCGGCGGGCGAAGTAGGTCGGGCCGCGACCGGCTTAAATTACCGACGGCTAACGCGCGCGACTAGGCGGCCGCGGCGGCGCCGGATGCAGCAAGCAGCAACTGCGGCGAGGGAGAGGCTGATCCCAGAGGCTGCGATCCGCGCGAGGCATCCACAAAAAAAACGCCACCTGTTTGCGGGGTCGCGGCCCAGGGGCCCGGCCCGCGCGAGGCCGTGGACACGGATATGTTTCTCGCCCGCGAGGCGCGGAGCGACACGGAGTTTCCCCGATCTCTCCCCTTCGTTTTCCCCTCCCACCTCCTCCCCATCCCCTCCTCCACCCCCTCCCCTCCACCTCCTCACTCCTCCTCTCCCCTCCTCCCCTCCTCTCCTCCTCCTCCTCCTCCTCCCTCTCCTCCTCCCTCCTCCCACCCCCCTCCCCCTCCTCCCTCCTCTCCTCCTCCTCCTCCTCCTCGCTCCTCCTCCTCCGCCTCCTCTCGCTCACCCCCTCCTCCTCCCTCCTCCTCCTCCTTCCTCCTCCTCCTCCTCCTCCTCCTCCTCCTCCTCCTCCTCCTCCTCCTCCTCCTCCGCCTCCTCCTCCCTCCTCCTCCTCCAGTATCCTCCTCACCTCCTCTCCCCTCCTCCTCCTCCTCCTATCTCCTCCTCCTCCTCCTCCTCCTCTCCCTCCTCCCCCTCCTCCCCTCGGTTTCCGGATCTGCAAGCTTTCCCTGAATTTCGGTTTCTGGGTGGGGGGGGGCCTCTCCCGGGCCATCAGGCACGGATTCGTTGGGGCGAAACTGACGCTCCCGGGGGGGATGAGACTTTTGGGCACCCATCGGCGATGAGTGGGAGACTGGGGGTCGATGCGTCCGCCCCTGGGCCTATCCCTGCCTCGCGCTGCCCCTGATGATCCGGGGCCGCGGGGACGGGGTGGCGCCCTCCTGGTCCGAAGGCTTGAAGCCACATGCCCGTCGGAAGTCTGGGTGCGGACACGGCCTGCGGAATGCACTGCGCAGGTGCCGCGTGGTCAGGCCGAGGCGCCCTGGGAAGCACGGATCAGCGTCGCCTCCCCCTCCCCATCTCCCTCTCCCCCTCCCCCTCCCCCTCCCCCCCCTTCCCCCTCCCCCTCCTCTTCCTCCTTTTCCTTCTCCTTCTCCTCCTCCTCCTCCTCCTCCTCCTCCTCCTCCTCCTCCTCCTCCTTCTTCTACGAACAAAGCAAAACGACCTCACCACCATCCGCGAGAGGAGCCAGGGGTTATCCCGCGGTGGTGTGGTCCCCCCCTCTCGAGAAATCTCCGTCCCCAGCTCGGGCAGGCATCGTGGCTCCCCTCGCTGGAGGTGGCCCCCCATGCCCCATGGTCGTGGTGGTGTCGCTGCCGTCTCCTCCGGTGCAGTCGCCACGACAAGAAAAGTGAGACGACGACGGCGTTGGATCCACGCCTCTTCCCAGAACGAGCGAATGCAAATGCAATTCCACGAGAGGCACATGTCGAGTCGCCCGAGCACCCGGCTCTGGAAACCGTGACCTCAACCGTGGTGACGCCTCGCATGGTCACGCAGCCTCGTGTCTCTGTCGCAGGGGTGGTGTATCGACCGACGTCGACCGAAGCTGTGCCCAAGCGTCTACCCGAGTGTGACCGAAGCCGGCGCCCGACATCTCCCGACCGCGCCCGAGGGTGACCGACATGCTTGGTCCGAAGCCATCACGCCCTTCAGTGTGGGTCGCAATCTCGGTCGCACTGGTGAGCGTTTTCTGAATCGGCGTTTCGACAGTGGGCGGAAAGGGGAGGGGGTCTGGCTCCAGACCTCTGCTTCGTGCGGCTGTTTGGAACCGTGCGTCTGCTGGGGGAAGGATCCCACGGGCTCGAAACAGGCGCCCCAAACAGCCAAGATCTACTCAGTGGGTAGGGGGAGGGGGGGGGTGCGAGGGCCCGCGCCGCTCCGCCAAACAAAAATGATTAAGAAAGCGATCGCATCTCGGTCGCACTATACGTGATCGGTCACAATGTTTGGCACATGTTTGGCCCCCGATCCCCTCGGCCACATACAGTCAACCCGTACAGTAAGGATATGCGCGATCAGGATGCACGGGCCTTGGACGCCCGTTTCGAAACTTTTCGAGCGGGGCGCGGCCAGCGAAAGCGGCGAAGGATGGACCGAGGAGGCAAGGATGCCTATCGTTACTACGGCAGGTTCGTGTCGTGCCGACCCCAGCGTTGGTTTTTGACACCGCAGGGATCGTTCAACCTTGAACGATCGACCGTCTCCGCAACGTCCGATCGTTCAACATCGACCGATTCTGGGTCGCCGGCGGCGTTCAACCTTGAACGCCCGCGCTGGGGTCGCCGCTGATCGACACGACGCAAACCTACCCTATGCGGGCTGAATGTGCTCTCCCCGCTGGCAGGGGACCGGGCACTGAGCACCGTTGCTTCCGCCAGCCTTCTGCAGGCCCCCGGCGGGCCCGCTGCCGCTCTGCCTCCGCGAGGCGAGACGCGTCGAAGGCGAGGAGGCGGAGGAGGAGGAGAAGGCGGAGGAGGAGGAGGAGGCGGAGGAGGGTGGAGGAGGAGAATGAGGAGAAGGAGGGGGGAAGGCGGAGGAGGAGGAGAAGGAGAAGGCGGGGGAGGAGGAGGAGGAGGAGGAGGCGGAGGAGGAGGAGGAGGAGGAGGAGGGGCCCCGCCCCCCTCCGGCCTCTGCCCCACCGTCGCCCGCGGCCCTCTTCAGGATAGGCGCGCCAAGAGCCCGGTGCGCCCGAGGCGCCCCAAGCTTGGGGCGCCTACTCCCCTAGGGAGCGCCTACTCCCCTAGGGGAGTAGGCGCCCCAAGGGGAGTTCACTTGATCAGAGGAAGCGCCCCAAGGGAAGTTTACTTGAGCAGAGCGTGTCTTCACACTGTGGATTCCCCGTACCACCTGTTTGCTCCCAATATTTGAGAGCTGCTCTTTTTTTCTCGTGGCTGAGGCGCCGAAAATCTCTTTTAAGGTCCTTCCTGTCGCGGTTCAGAGCGTACCTCCCCGCCAGAGGTCCGCCCGACGTCGGAAAAGAAGGGGGAGGGGGAGACGGAGTGGATGGCCAGGCCGGAGGTGGAGGAGCGAGGGGGAAGGCGAGGGAGGGAAGCAGGGCCGAGGAGGGAGTGGCCAGGCCGGGGGGCCCCGCCCCGCCCCAGCGCACTGCAGGCGCTGCAAAGCATTTTCGTGCTCCTTGTTCTCGGGCTTGCGAGGCGCACGCTTGCCCGCCGCGTTTTTTTTGGCCTTCGGGGACGCCTTCGGTGCCATCGCCTCCCCTCGCCCACCCGACCTGGCCAGCGGCGAGGGTACGTGCCGACGCGCGCCATGAGAAACACGCGCGGGGGGCCAAGGCACGTGGGCATGCGACGTATGCGTCAATGCTGTACCCTCCTTCCGTCTCCTCCATCACCCGCCCCTCCCCCGTCCCCGACCATCCCCCGTCCCCGACCGTCTCCCCTCGCCCACCCTGGCCAGCGGTGGCGAGGGTGCCGACACGCGCCATGCAGACACGTGCACGGGGGGCCAGTGCACGTGGGCACGCGACGTATGCGTCAATGTACCCTCCTTCCGTCTCCTCCATCCCCCGCCCCTCCCCCGCCCCCGACCAACGGGCATTTTTTTCTTAATTGGCGACGTATGCGTCAATGCCACCGCGCGTTCGCCTGCTGCCTGGGGCGCATGCGCGAACGCCCCCTCGCGGGGGCGTCGGATCTGCGCGGGATGGCAGCGGGGGTGGGTGGGGGGCCCAAGGCAGGGGCGGGGGACTGGCCTAGGCGGGGAAGGGGGGGGGGGGCGCGCGCGTCGGGCGGGCGCGAAGGGCCCAAAGGGGGCTCCGAGCGCACCCGAAGATGCGGGGGGGCGCAGTGGCCCCCGACCTTAAGGCGCCTGGAGCGCATGGAAAACACATGAAAAACACATGAAAACCATGAAAAACACATGAAACACATGAAAAACACATGAAACACATGAAAAACACATGAAACACATTACAAAACACATGACAAAACACATGAAAAACACATGGAAAACACATGAAACACATGAAAACAATGAAAACCATGAAAACACACATGAAAAACACATGAAACACATGACACACACATGAAAAACACATGAAAAACACATGAAAACCATGAAAACCAAACCATGAAAAACACATGAAAAACACATGAAAAACACATGAACAACACATAAAAAACACATGAAAAACACATGAAATGAAAACCGTGAACCATGAAACACATGAAAAACACATGAAACACATGAAAAACACATCAACAAACACATGGA